CAGGCACGCTGCTGCGAAGAAGTGCTGCGCTGCTGCTGCTGCTGCTGCTGCTGCTGCTGCTGCTGAGCTGTGGAGCTTACGGGGTCGATAATTTCTTGGAAGAAAACGGAGACGCTTGCCCTGTCGATCGTGTTCTGCTGCTGCTGCTGCTGCTGCTCTGCAGCGGCCTTTTTCTTGGGCCTGTGCGCGGGGTCTGCTGCTGCTGCGTCTGCTGCAGCAGCAGCAGCAGCAGCAGCAGCAGAGTTGTGAATAAGCTCCGTCACATTCCGCAGCCTTATTTGCTGCGCCCGCCGCCCAAAGACAAAAAGCATTGCGTCGATCACATTGCTTTTCCCCGAGCCGTTGGGGCCCACGATGGCCGTGAATCGCTGCAGCAGCAGCAGCAGCAGCAGCAGCAGCAGCAGCAGCAGCAGCAGCAGAAGCAGCAGCAGCAGCAGCAGCAGCAGCAGAAGCAGCAGCAGGGGGTTTTGCGTCGGTGTAGTTGTGGGCACACAGGCAGAAAAGCTGCGGCAAAAATACCTCTAGAGTTAACTGGCGACATGCACTGCTGCTGCTGCTGCTGCTGCTGCTGCTGCTGCTGCTGCAGTGGGCAGTGAGCATACTGAAGGCGCAGCAGCAGCAGCAGCAGCAAGAATATATTCGACAGCAACAACGGCAGCATCAGCAGCAGCGAGATACCCGTTTAACAGCAACAACCTCAGTAAAAGCAGCAGCAGCAGCAGCAGCAGTAGCAGCAGCAGCAGCACCAGCAGCAGCAGCAGCAGCAGCAGCAGCACCAGCAGCAGCAGCAGCAGCACCTTGTGGAATGGCCCAATGACCTTTTTCTGGCTGTAACTTTTGAAGTTCTCCAAAACAACCTTTTCAATCATCAGCCGCCGAATGGGGCCCCTCTTGGGGGCCCCCGGGGGGCCCCCCAGGGGGGCCCCCGGGGGCCCCCCCAGGGGGCCCCCCAGGGGGCCCCCTAGGGGGCCCCCCGGGGGGCCCCCTGGGCATATGGAGTCCGGGGCTGGGATCGCCAGAGACGATCCCAGGCTATGTGCGTCAGCTGCTGCTGCTGCTGCTGCTGCTGCTGCTGCTGCTGCTGCAGTGGGTGAGGCGGCCAGCGGCGACTGGGATGGTGTCGGTGTTGCTGCTGCTGCTGCTGCTGCTGTTGCTGCTGTTGCTGCTGTTGCTGCTGCTGCTCGCTGAGCGCCCTCCAGCAAATCTGCCACAGTCAGGGGGCCCCCCGCGTTTCTACGGGGGCCCCCCACGGGCCCGCCCCCTCCCAGCATCTGCTGCTGCTGCTGCTGCTGCTGCTGCTGCTGCTGCAGGAGTCTGCGAGTTATACACTACGCTGAAGTTGCTGCTGCTGCTGCTGCTGCTGCTGTTGCTGCTGCTGCTGCTGTGGTTACATGAGGCGGCCCCGCGACGCTGTCGGGGGCCGCTTTAGAAGCCAAGACAGTCACACCGTAAACCCCTATTTTGAGGGTTTAGGGTTTAGGGTTTAGGGTTTAGGGTTTAGGGTTTTCAGCGCAGCAAAGAGAAGGCGAAGAGGAGCCTCAGGCAGCTGCGGTGGGGTTGTTGGTGGTGGCGCCCCTTGGGGCTGTCTCTAAACCCTAAACCCTAAACCCTAAACCCTAGGCGCCCAAACGGCTACAAACTTTAATTTAATATAAAACTTGGAATTTTTCCACTTTTTTTAGCATTTGAGCTTAGGGTTTAGGGTTTAGGGTTTAGGGTTTACCGGGTGTTGTGCTAGCTCGTCAGTACGGAGGCACTGCCGAAGGCTCGGCCTTCTTACGCGAGGGTTTAGGGTTTAGGGTTTAGGGTTTAGAGTTTACAGTTTAGGGTTTAGGGTTTTGAATTAGTTTTTGTCTTCTTGCTGCTAGCTTTAAATAAAGAAGAGATGGATCTGATGTTCTGGAAGACTCAGCGAGCATCGTGTCTAGGGTTTAGGGTTTGGGGTTTAGAGGCTAGGGTTTAGGGTTTAAAGCCTAGGGTTTAGACTTCTCAGCCCCCAAACCCTAAACCCTAACAGCTCTGCTGCAGCAGCTACGCAGCAGCTGCAGCTGGAGGGTTGGAGGCAAATTTGAAAAAATTGAAATTCAAAAATAAAAAGAAGAATCCAAGAAAAAGACCATTTAGCCTCTCCAACTGATTTATTTGTAAATATAAATGAAAATATATTTATAAATATATTTAATTTTAAATTAAAAGTTCCGAAAACATTCAAATAAGACTTCAGTCCGCTGCAACTTCAGGTGTACAGACAGCTCTCTGACTTGGGGTGTATGTGCAGCTTTCCGCCGCTGCTACGGAAAGCTGCAGAAAGCGGAAAGAAAAAGAAATATTTTGGGGATTTTGAAAAGAATTTGAAGAAAATAAAAAGCAATTATGCATTTAAAACCTTTTTTTCTGCTTTTTACTTCTTCAATTTTTCTCTTTGCTGCGGAATTGTCGGCGCATCAGCCGGTACGCTGCGGAGCGGAAACTGCGCTTTTTGCGGAGTTTCTTTTTATTCTTTTTATTTCTTAAATGATTTTTTTTGCAAAAGTCTTTTCATTTATTTAATTTGTTTTTATTTTTCTTCTGCTGCTGCTGACAGCGCGCGCAGAAGCAGCTGCTGCTGCTGGCGCCAAGCCGCTTCGTTCAGCGAATAGAACGCCAAGAAGAGGTGGGACAAAACAAACCCTAAACCCTAAACCCTAAACCCTAAACCCTAAACCCTAAACGGAAGACAAGAGGGATTGCTGCGCACAAACCCCAAACCCTTGCGCGGTGTCTGTACAAAGGCAGCTGCAGGTTTAAGACTTAAGTAATTCCTTTTAATTTGAGAACATGGAAACAGATTTAACAAGGGACATCCAAACCCTAAACCCTAAACCCTAAACCCTAAACCCTAATTACGCCCTTCACGTTTGGCGTTGGCTGCAGGAGGCGGCGCCCTTCACTGAAGAGGACTTTGCGAAAGAAGAAGAAGAGTAAAGAAATATAAAACACTTGTATTTTCGTAAACCCTAAACCCTAAACCCTAAACCCTAAACCCTCGCTGCAGAGCTCGAGAGGACTATCAATGGGCGACACAACACCGCACCGTGTCCGTTCACAACACCCAAACCCTAAACCCTAAACCCTAAACCCTAAACCCTAAACCCTAATTTTCAGGCCAGACGGCCCAGTGCCCAGCGCGTCTTTGGAAGAGAAGCAACGCCTAGATCCCCTGGCTATGCAGGTGACCCTAAAAACTCCAAACCCTAAACCCTAAACCCTAAACCCTAAACCCTAAACCCTACTTTTAGGAGGCTCAGGACGCTAAAGAGTTCGCCAAAGAGCAGCGACAAGCAGCAGCAGAGCTCCAGAAGGCCGAGAGCGAGCTCGCCTCCATGCTAAACCCTAAACCCTAAACCCTAAAACCCAAACCCTAAACCCTAAACCCTAAACGCTAGTTGACTGCACAACCCTCTGCAAGCACCGGTCTGACTGCGGGGCACTTTTTCTCAACAGCCATACTAGCGACCTTCTGCAAACCCTAAACCCTAAACCCTAAGCCCTAAACCCTAAACCCTAAGCCCTAAACCCTAAACCCTAAACCCTCGCTCGACGTTAGACGCACATGGAATAGGCCAAGAGGTTAGAGCGAAAAGAGCCGGCCGTGTCTCGGCTGGCTGCGAGGTTTAGGGTTTAGGGTTTAGGGTTTAGGGCTTAGTAATAAGTCCCTTCTCTGTCTTCTCTCTGCTGCTTCCAGCCGCTTCTGTTGTATCTGTCCCCATGCGGGGGCCCCCACCTGTGGCTGTCTTCATAAGGGGGCCCCCCCCGGGGGCCCCCCTGGGGGCCCCCCCGGGGGCCCCCCAGGGGGCCCCCCCGGGGGGCCCCCCGGGGGCCCCCCCTATCCCTAAACCCCTCATCTCGAGGCCTCCCATAATAGCTGTTGTCTCTGTCAGAGTGCCCCCAGTGTCTGTCGCCCTCAGCCTCTAGGCTTTGGGAGTAGGGGCCCCCCGGGGGCCCCCGGGGGGCCCCCGGGTACGGAGAGGGGCCCCCGTAGTAGGGGGGCCTCTGTCTTATCTCGCCCCCGATTTTGGGTGTATAGACAGCTCGCGCTGCTCGCTCTATGTACTCGCGAGCGACTCTGTCTTTTCTGGGCTGTATGGCGGTGTCTACGTAGTGCTGCTGCTGCTGCTGCAGCAGCAGCTGCTGCTGCTGCTGCTGCTGCTCCAGCAGCTCCCGCTGCCGCCGGCGCGCTGCTGCTTCCGCCATCAGCCGCTGCTTCTCCCGCGCGTACTCCGCCACGTGTTGCCGCCGCTGCAGGCCCGCAGAGGGTTTAGGGTTTAGGGTTTAGGGTTTGGGGTTTAGGGTTTAGGGTTTTAGGCCCCTGGGCACTCGGCGCAGGCAGCAAATTGATTAGAGACAAATAAATGCATTAGTGGATATATAAAAGAAAGAACTTGAAAGAATTAAAGATTTAAAAAAGATATTATTCATTTAAAAGATATAATTCAGTTAAAAGATGTTATTTAAATCACAAGATATAATTGAATTAAAGAACCAAACAGGGGCTAAAAAAGAAGCAGCAGCAAGTGCTGCTGCAGCAGCAGCAGCAGAGTGACGGCACTCCCGCTGCTCCTGCTGCAGGCCACCACCGCCCAGCAGCAGCAGCAGCAGCAGCAGCAGCAGCAGCGGCTGGAGCAAAGCAGCCGCAGAGCTTACAAGCAGCAGCAGCAAGACCACCAGCAGCAAAGCAGCCGCAGCAGCACCAAACCACCAGCAGCAGCAGCAGCAGCAGCAGCAGCACCAAACCACCAGCAGCAGCAGCAGCAGCAGCAGCAGCAGCAGCAGCAGGAGCAGCAGCAGCAGCAGCAGCTCACGTTCCAGTATCCGGTTTCTTTCCACCAAGCCACCAAAGCCCGCAAAGAACTCTCTCTGTGCCCCCAAAGCCTAAACCCTAAATTGTCAATATAAATTCCATCACAAATAAATATTTCTTTTCCCCCTTCTCCGCCTCTGGGGGGCACCACCACCAAGTG